AAACCCAAAACCCCGTCCCCCTCTCTCGCCCCCCCCCCCCCCCCTTCCCCCCCTTCCCCCCCCCCCCTCCAGCCTTCTCCATGTCTAAGGACGCTCTATGAATTCACCTTATTTGACCTCATTATACTCGAGATGACATTGATCTGCCTTAAAAGGGGAAACTCTAGGGACCAACAACAAGGCCAAAATCAGCATGAGCTTATCAGGCGTACCCAACGACCGACACATGCCCCCGGCTGGAGTGCTTCTTCCTTCTTCGCCTGCAAAAAAAAAAAATCCAGTCGAGCATCGAAGAAATATCAATATATGGAACCCGAGAACGACTTCCGGCGTTCTTGCGTTCCCTTCCCAATTCCCGAACTTGTTTCAATCGTTCGTTTTCATGTCAGAAGACGGACAAGGTCGTGCGACGATCGTCCATCGTGCCAAAATCAACCTAGGAGTTCCTTAATAGCTTATTATTTATAAGCTTATCTTCATGCGTACCAAATACCTCTTAAAGAAAAAACCTACTATTTCCTTCCGCTCATTAGAGCTAGTACAGGCTGAAAGGAACTGTGAAACTCCTGGAATTTCCTTTTAATGGCTGTACCGATGGGAAGCGCGCAAAATTCTTTTTCTCCTCTTACATTCCTTGTTAACCCATTCAGTGGGGAGGGCAGTTTCAGTTTCAGTTTCAGTTTCAGTTTCAGTTTCAGTTTCTCTGGAAATAGCGCTCTCAGACGACAAAAATGCGAAGTTTTCCTGATTTTATTCCCGTTTAATCGTCCCGGAAAAGTTTTTGAAAGGTTCGAGGGATCTCCCCGTCTGCTTCTAAATGTGGACGCGAAAATTGTGAAATTATATTTTTAAAATGAGACTGCAGAAGATCGCGCGTGAGATTAATAAGCCACTTCCAAGAGAGAAATGGCACGCACTTCCTGATTCCCTGGCGCCAAGTCAGGGAGTCGGAGCGAAATTAATACCGGTACTTAAAACGCGGAAATAACCTGGCTTTGTTTCTTGAACCTTTATTCTACTTTGAACCCCATGCAAGAAAAGATGAGGCTCGTCATTTATTAGCTGGTGTGGCGGGAAGTGGATGGTTCATAATTTATAGGCTCGTTGCCGTTTGTGGGATAATGTCCTCGTAAATGTTGTCTATTTTTGGCGCGAACGACGAAGAATCGTCTTAATTTCCCCGCTGAAATTCTCCTCTGAGAAAGGGTTTTTTTTTTTTCTTGAGTCGTACTTCAAAGAAACTTTCGTCCGAATCGCAACCCAACCGAGCCTTCCTTTCTCCCACGATTTCCCCCCGAACGAAACGGCGAAAAGCTGAAATTTCGCGAGATTTGAAATTTCTCCGCGGGAGAAGTGGAAATTCAGTCACGACCGCTGTTAAGCGGCTGCAACTAAGATTAAATACGTCGAGTGGAAAAAAAAACAGGCCTTCGAGACGGCCTGCTTCGACGGAAACTAAAACGCGTCTCAAGAACACGAGATTGTGTCATGGTAAGAAAGAATCTCCATCGTAAGCTGTAAAAGAATGGAGTGCGCTATCGACGTTGGTTCCAGACTTTCTTTCTACTCCATTAACTCCGTGATCGGATTCCATTACGAACACGAACACGTCAGGCATCACGCATCTCTACATCTTTCACCCTAACGAGCCGTTCCTTCTCGCCTTACAGTCCTTTGGTCCTTCAGTCCTTGATGAGGATCCCGGCTATCCGGGGGTATGAGACACCTCTCGATTCCTCGTTTGTAGCTGAGTGATTTAGCTCTACGCGGCTCCAAGTGAGAGAAAAGCCTTTGTCGTTGATGAAAAAGGCACACAGAAGCGAAAGAAAATGAGAATAACCCTGGGGGCTTCACGAGCGAAAAATCGTCTTCCACCGCATTCCCCTCCCCTTCCTCCGAGAAAGTCCTTGCAGCTTGCGAAAGGCAAGCCAAAATGCATACGTGGGAAAACGAAACCACTCGGCACACGTCCGGCCGCGAAAGAAAAGCAGAACAGCGCAGCGGATGAATGAATCCAATTTGTTCGGAATCCCCTCCTGCCTCCCCTCTCGGATCGGATTCGTTTCCCTCCATCGACACAGATGGCACGTTCCACGCGACCCCATATTCCCTGGGAAGGCAGAAGGAACACCCGCCAAGTTTGGACACGGTAGAAAAATCACACGGCGAACCTTGTTCCCTCGAGATTTCGGTATACACTCGCAATTCGTCCAATTACGCCTGGACAGACTGCTTTGGCACGCGTCATATGAACAGAGAGGCTCGGAGAACAGAGATCTTCTCTTGTACGTTTACGGAGACGGCAGCTTAGGCTGGCGTCCCATTTTAGCCTGGTTAAACGATGTTGAATTTTTTTTAAGGGTGCCCTCAAAACATACCCCCCCTCCCCCCCCCCCTCCTTTTCCTCCCGTAATTTGATGACCCCCCCAACCCAATATCGTGAGGAAATCCATTCCTTAGACCGACCCTGGCTACTAAACCAATGGAATCTCTGCTCGAAACGTAGAAGTAGGTGTCGCGAGTAGAGGA